TATTTCAAATATCGGGATAAGAATAACGGATACGGAAAGATAACGGTAATTTAGAAAATAAAAATTATTATCTTAACTAAGTCTAATATTATACAGAGAGAATTATGGGTAACATTCAAGAAGACATATTACTTATTCATATGGGTGGGCCAAAATATTTTACTTTGTTGCACGACATGTATAGTGAACGGGTTTGACTCTCTTGACATCTATATTTATGTTATTTTATTCAAAAGTTTTAATGTTTTCTATTGTTTTTATGTGATGTAATAGTTCGCAAATTTAATTGATTTCTAACTTATCATTAATTTGATTCACACTCGATCCGGATTTCTTATCATGTCGGTCCGAATATTGCAAACTTTATGATAAATTTAAATTTTGCAATCATCCCCGCACTTACGTGCGGGTCCATCCCTAGTAGTATTTTAATTTCAATCAACTAAACATATATATAATTTTTATAAAATCAAACATGTACGTCGAGGTACTTTGAAATGTTTGTGTTTCATAAATATAGTGATTCACAATTAACACAAAATAGAAAATATTGATACTGCATATGCCATGTGAAAGAAAATAAATGCTTATAACATGTTGCATATGGCTTTCCTCAGTGTATCCTTAGCCCACAAATAATGACTAAACGAACATGCTTTATCTCTTCTAAACGTAGCAACTTCGAATTTACATTCTCTTTTCCAAGAGCTTAACATCAATAATTCGATTCGTAGAACAGAGGTTAAAAACTATCGAGTCTGAGAAAGAACATACAATAATAACAATCGAAACCTCCATGCTCGCTTTGTTGTTGCATACACACTGTTTAAATAACATAAGAACAAAGGCATCAAAAAGAGAAACCCATAGGAATAACAAGAGTTAATCAGATAATGTACTTGCATAGTTACATGATCGTTGTTGTACTTTTTGTCTGGACCTAAGCTTGTAATGGTTAGTTCTTATTAGACTAAAAGTGGAATAATTGTCTTAGTGTATTCCTATATTGTGAAAAACAAAAATTGAAAGAAACAGAGCTTATATCTATAGATGATGTTGTTCAAATTCAATTGTATATAGAAAAAATACATGAACTAAAAAGATTACACAATGCTAATAAGTTACACAAACAATATCATCTGCCAATTCTAAACTCAAATTCCTCTATGCTTCTGTATCCAAATCTCTAAAATGTTTTTATTCCTAGTTTCGAAAAAAGAATTTGCAATAATAAAATGAATCAGTTTCCAAAACAGAGTCTAGAGAGTTCTTGTGCCGGCGAGTCCACGATGCAAGAGATTGTGAGAGATATGATCCCTCGTGTTAACCGCACTCGCTGATCGTATATTATTCTCCGGCACCGCCACGTCATCGAACACCTCGAACTTCAGCCTTGGCGACATCTCCTCGTTCCTCATCTCACAGATGTTATGCAACACACAGCAAGCTCCAAGAACGTAGGGCAGATCTTGAAGCTTCACCTCCGTCCGTTTCTGCAAACAAGCCCACCGTCCTTTGAGCCTTTCAAACGCCTCCGTCGCAATCCCCTGAATCTCTCCGATGCTCTCGTTGAACGCGTGCTGCGTCCACGTCAGATTCTGTCTAGCGTACGGCACAAGAAGCCAGTCGGTCAACGGGAACCCCGAGTTTCCGACGATCCAGCTGTCTCGTAGCATCCCACGCGCCGCTCGCTGCCGTGAAAGCGAAGATTTCTCCAGGATCTGATCGTCCGTCAGAGATCCCGGGTTTCCGATGCAGACGTCGGTGAAGATCCCGTCGGCGTTGACCACTCCTTGTACGGTTATCGAGTACGACGTCTTCTGGTTCCTCTCTGTGTGCCTCTTGTTGAAATACGCCGCCACGTGTACCTTCGGAGCGATGATCGGGATATGCGTGGTGTAGATTGATCCGACGACGTTTGGTATTTTGTGGATAGATTCGAATTTAGATTTCGTGGAGTTGATCTCCGAATCCGACGGCCACCGGAGATACTTGGGCATAAGGACGTCGTAGATCGCGCGGCAGACTTCGATGACCAGCTTGTGGCAAGTCGAGATTCCCAGACCGAAACGCTCGGACACGTGGCGAAGTGGAGCTCCCGTAGCTAAACGCCAAACGCAAACGCCGACGCGTTTTGGAGCAGGGATCGCGTCTCTAAGCATCGTGTTTTTCTTCGTCACCGTCGTGTCTAGCTCCTCGCATATTAGATTAAACGTCGATTTGCTCATCCGAAACTCTCGCCGGAACTCGTCCTCCGGAAAATCAGGCCGGCTCACTCTGTCCCACCAGTCCGTAGTCCGTTCCTTAACCCACAATCTCCTATGACTCGGACCTGACCCGGAGCCGCTCGCTACATCTGCGGCCGGAACAGGAGCAGCCGTAACGGTCGTGTCAGCTACAGCGGAAACAGCAGCGGCAACAGCGGTTTTACGTGCGCGTTTAGAACGGGCAGCACCGTCGGGTTCACCAGGAGCAGAGTAATGACCTTGTAACTGGTTGTAATAACCATCCATTGTTTTAACTTTCTTATTGTGATTAGCTTCAAGAAGAGACTTGTCCTGATTAGATTCAAAATCCCACTGCTCTGATTGCTGTTTAGCTTCCTCGTCTAGCAAGAGAATCGTGGCGAGTATATCTCCGAACGCAGCCTTACTATTAACACCACCATTCACAGCTCCTCCTCCTCCTTCTTCGCCTTCGTCGTCCTTCCTTTGGCGTTTCTTGGGATTACTAGTGTGGTCGTTGTTACCAAAACCTTCTAACCCGAAAGGAGAAGAGTCCATGTCTTGAAATAGACCGAGGAAATGGGAACACTCGTCGTCTTGTAGGTATGGAAATGGGAAAGCAGAGATTTCCATTAAAGGGAAGAAAAAATGAAAATTTATATTTAATTTTTCAGCTGTTTGACGGATTTTTTTTTGGTTTGAAAAGTGTTTGACTTGTTTTAAGATAATAAGATTAGATGTGAAATCAAAAGCTTTTAGTGTTTGAAGTTGGAAGACAAAGATTGAGTTTAAATTGTTTCGAGTTTGGTTTCAGACGATTTATAAAAAAAGGTTTGTTTGTCTGCGTTCGTGAAAAATATACAGAGAAGAAGCAAAAGGACGACGAAGAAAGGAAGCGCGTGAAGGTGTGAACGCGGTAAGCGGATTTGGCTTTGACGGTGACTTGACTTTATTTTTTATTTTATTTTTATTGTATTGTTTTGTTTATTTTAATTAAGATAAAGCGTTTACTCGCTACTGTTTCATTGAGATTGCACCGCGTAAATCTCTGATGTTTTTATATAAAAGACAAAAACAAAAACATGTTTGATTAAAGTTTTTATATTTTTAACTAGATTCGATATTATTATCACATAACGCAAAGTAATAGTGTACTGTTTTAGTTATTTCAACTAGAAGATTCGGCACTGGTTTTTTTTACTATTAGTCTTATTATTAGTTTTACTCTTGTGATTCTTTATTATTTACAAATAAAACTATATACTTTATCATAGATCATAGATGTGATTGTCACTAGGTTTATATCATATGCATGTGTATGAGAGTATTGACTATGTTGAGTAAGATTCGTAAGGGACAAATAGTTTTGAACATTGAAAACAGTTACATTTTGAATTTGTAAGCGTTACTGAATAATTTTTCAAACATCCAACAAAAAACAAAAATATGAAGTAGTCGAATTTGATTATATAAAATGTATATTTTTGTTCTAGCTTATTGTTTTAGTAGTGTACGAAGAGAATTTGTCGATGATATTTAGGACTAAGCAATCCGTTTATTTATTTAAAACTATTTCTTTTGCCAACAACACATTTTAAGATTTGAATTAGTTATTCTAAACTTCTAAGAATAATAACTAATGATTAACAGACGTTGGACGGTTGGAGAATTGAGATGTACTGTAAGAGAAAACATTAGTTTTAGTTTTGGACTAAGAAGTTAAATAAGTCTTTCATTTCGGACATCAAAGTTACGTCTTATTTAATTGTTTTAGTTTTAGTTTTTGATTTATTTTTTTTGTTTATTATAAAGATTTACGCGGTAGGGAGGCATGGTTGGTGTGTCTTTGTATGCCATTGTCTTCAATAGATTAGTTTTTATTTGGAAATATTCGTAAAATACTTTGCTGTATTATTTTTTAATATCTCAAAATAGGGCTTCTTCTTTCCCCGTCTCTCTTATTTTGTTTGTTACTTTTGAGAGAAAAAACACGTTTCCTAAAAAGAGTATCTCAGAAGTTTCTTGGAAGTGGTCAGAAGATAGATTGGTACTTCTTATATTATAACGTCGATGACAAAGATGCGAGAGGGATGTTTATGTATTTTACGTGTTCTGTTTTCTAGACTTCTGAGCTAAGCTGTGAAAGTAATAACTTTTCTTGTTTTGGCCAAAAACTCAACAAGTAAAGTTATGTAAAAACACATCACTCCCTTTGTTTTTCTCCATATTTGTCATGTTTTTATTTTCGTTCTATCTATTAGCGTAGATATTTTTGGATAAGCATAGGCTTGTTTCATATTCCTGAAAGAGAATCTACTAGAAAACTCTATGTCATGCATAGTTCAGCTCAAAGCTTCCACATTAATCTGTCTGTTCAACAGCTTCATGAGTACAAAAAAATTATAGTATCGTAACAAATTAAACGTTAACAATGGCACCTAGAAGCCAATTTGATTTAAAATTATTAGAGCTTGGCAATGGCATATGTATCTATGTGTTTGAGTTTCATATAGATTATATAACGCGGTGACTTGGGCTGGGAGTGAACGAACCATTGCCTTTTGTCTGTTCCAATCGTTACGTTGACCGTTGACATACCCACTGTATCAGTTTTAACTGTTTTTTTAATACAATCCACTTTACATTAGTCAAACATTTTTAGTCTTCAACGGGCACCTGACCTTTTTGTAATTAAAACAGTACTAAAATACTAATCCCAATTCTTTTACTTTAGATTTGGTCTTTAGAGATAATACTAGAAGAGATAATAGTAGAAGAAAGGTTCGATTGCACAAGCAAACAACAAAGTTTTCTTATAGCTCTGTTAATTTACAAGAAAAGAATCAAGTGCGATAGTTCATTAACTGACCAAGAGACCTATTTATGCAATCATCTCATTACTCATACAAACTTGACAGAACTCACTTAGTTATATAGACAATTACTGTAACACGATGGCACGTTCTATATTATCCTATTGTATCTCTAGTTTGTTAAAATCATGTTTACTCCCTGCACAATAGTACCGGCTTTGAACCCCCAAAAAACACTAACACATCTAAAAGGTCACGAAGAAAAGATGATGATTCGGATTCCAGTGCCCTATTGGTCTCACATTCAACAAATCGATATTATGAATTTATCTCTGGAAAGTAGCTATAAACTTCTTAAACACACAAATAAAAGTCTCATACTTAATTTCAAACCACAAACTGAGTTCCACAACAAACATAGGGTTTTCAAGATACTTAACTTCTTAAACAGAACATATGTCTGATCAGACAGTCTTAATATAGGACCAACAAACAAGTTCCACAGCTAGCATAAAAGTTCTTCAGATACTTACCAAGATCTCTGCTCTACTTCAGTTGATAAAAAAGCGGGGGATACAGAAGTCAACAAGCAGAGTTGTTGGCTCTGTGACCTGAGACTCGTCGTCACCATTAAGCGGGAGCGACATACTTCTCACAGACACTTTGACAAACAAAGTCTTCTTCTTGTAGCACATCTGAACAGTCACAACAGGTTCGCCCTCGATTATCTCCAGTTTAACTACTATCACATCTCTAAGTCCAACATAGCTTGTTCCATTACCTGACGGGCCTTTGTAAATTCCCTATCACACAAGGAAAAATTGAACAAGATTAGTTCAAAACTTTGTCATTAATCTCTGAAAATTTTGAAATTTAAAAAACAACACTTTACCTCTCCAACAAGATCAAATTCTGGAGTGAACACATGCAGTCTTGCTCCCGTTGGTTGTTGCTTGAACAGCTTCCATGCTTCATCCAAGTATGTAGCCTCAATCACTTCTCCTTTCATGGGAACGCGAGGGATTTGACAAGCAAATGGGGGAGCCTTGAAAGAACATCCCAAATGTGCCCAATGTCCACTTCTTGGGAGCCCTTTTTTAAAAGCAAATGCAAGGCATTCTTTGACAGTGAGCTCACGGCGTGGTCGATCCACTTCTCCCTGCCTATCTTCCTTCTTGCTCCAAACATTTTCCACCAAGTACTGAAGTATGTTTTCCACAGTGAACTGACAGCCCTGTTGATCCATTTCTCCCTCCACTTCTTCCTTCCCAGCGTTGTCCACCAGATACTGAGCGGAGTACTCAGTATACTCAGGGTCGAGTTTGAAGAGAACCCGTGCAGAGCTAATCAGACTCACAGCTATCAAAGCTGCAGACTGAGATGCATCTACAAGAAAGAAAAAGATGAAAATGTTGTACTCAATCCATATGACTCTTACAAAAGGATTAGACTGAACCTGTTAAAATTAAAGCGAGAGTATAAGACTACCAGTTAAAACCAAATCACAAATTCTTTTTAGTGATGCAAAGAAAGTAACATCCTCTAAGATTCTAGATTTGATAATTTACCATAATCGTCTTGCCCACTGTTTGCTCGTACGCAATTTGGATGACAGATGCCAGCTGACTCTGACATAGATTGTAAAAACAGCTCATTCATCTTCAATTACTTAACCCTGTTTTTCAAGTAGAAACAAACAGAAGGAGACATTCAGTAATCCAGCACAAGAACACATCCAGTCCAGAAAGAAGATATCCAAAACAAAGAACTATCTAGCTTAAAGCATAAACACGGTTTCCAAGTTTTGACATAAAAATCTTCAAATGAGAGTTTTAAAATTTAGACTAAACCAAACAAACGTTGATAGCTTCGTCAACAGAGAAGAACTCTACCCTAAAGAAGGATTCAGCATTCTTCATCCAAAAACAAAATCAAAACCCTAAAATGTAACTGTTCACTAATCACGAGAAGAATCAGTAGCAAAACCCAAAAAACAAGCAAAAAAATCCAAATGAGGAAGAAAAGGGTCGAGAGAAAGTTACGGGGAGACGAGAATCAGAAGTAGACCAGTCACAATCGCCGCTCACTGTAGAGAAGAAGCTCAGAATGTTCTCGAAACTCTCAAGTGAAGCTCTCGAGAAACCCTCTTTTCCCTCTCAGCTTACTGTTAAAGTGATGTCGTTTAGGGAACTTCCACTTTTAAATCAACGATTACGACGGCGTTTTGGTAAGTTCCCTTGACCTGATGCCTTTTTCCGAGATTGCCAATGTATGTTGAAGTCTCAACAAAAACATGTGGTTTATTTATGTGATTTAAATTGTTTGTTGGGCCAGTTTATAGAGAGATATCTAATTATACGATCTGGATATGTTCATACTAGTCTAGTGGTGTGGGATTTGAATTTGTTGCCTGGACACACGAAGGTTATAGATTTTCTAGTTTGTGTTAGATACTGAAAATTTTGTTCGACTTTTCTTGTGTATAGTTAAACCGCCAAGGCAAATACGAGAGAACTAACTAATCTAGGAGCAAATTCAATTACGAATTCACAAGACTAAAAAGATCCAGGGGACAAGTCTTTCTTCAACTTATAGATAAAAGTTTCCAAACACAATCATAATTTAAAGACAACAAACAAGTTCAACAACTAGGATATGTTTTTTAAGATACGTAGAACTTCATAAGATAATTCTTATTTTAGAACCACAAACAATAGGACTGACTTGCTGAAGAAGAAAACACACACAAAGAAAAAGATGATTAACAAGTTCAAAGACTTCTTAACTTACAGATAAACAAGTTCCAGAAACAATCACAATTTCAGAAAACAAACAAGTTCCACAGCTAGGATATGGTTTCCAAGATACTTGACTTAAATTACAGAAAATAGTCTCATAAACATTCTTACTTCAGGACCCAAACAAGTTCCAGAAATAGCATATAGTGCTCTAGACACTTTCCAAGATCTAAGCTCTCTTTCGGTTGATAGATAAGCGCGGGACACAGAAGTCAACGAGCAGCCCTGTTGGCCCAATGTCCTGAGAGCTATCACCATTATGTGGTACTGACATAAACATCTGAGTCAACGACACTTTGATATATGCAGTCTTCTTCTTGTAGCAAATCTTCACAGTTGCAACAGTTTCATCCTCAATATTTTTAACTGAAACGATAACCACATCTCTAAGTCCAACATAGCTTGATTCATAACCTGACGGGCCATGGAAAATTCCCTAGCACACACAAACAAAAAGAGTGAACAATATAAGAACAAAACTTTATCATTAATCTCTAAGAACTTTGAAATGCAACTAACAACACTTTACATCTCCAAGAAGATCAATATCCGGAGTGAACACATGCAGTTTTGCTCCCACCGGTTGATGCTCCAACAGCTTGAATGCTCCATCCAAATCCTTAGCTTCAACCACTTTTCCTTTCATGTGTACACGAGGTATGTGACAAGCAGATGGGGGAGGCTTGAAGATACATCCCAAATGTGCCCAAAGAACTTCTTTCGGTATCCCTTTTTTCAAAGCAAAAGCAAGGGCATCTTTCACAGTGAGGTCACAGCGTTGCCCGTCTTCCCTCTTGGAACGAGCATTATCCACCAAAAACTGAGCTGAGTACTGAGTATACTCAGTGTCGAGGTTAAGTATAAGCCGCGCAGAGCTTATCAGATTTGCCGCTACCATAGCAGCAGAATGAGATGCATCTGTAAGACAAAAAACAAATCAAAACGAAGCCATTGCATAAGTAGTCAATCCACTTTACTCTTTCGAAGGATTAGATTTTAAACTTGTTATTTAAACAAGAGTAAGACGGTAAGACTATCATATAATAAAACCAAACCACAGTTTTCTTTTCATCATGAAAAGAAAGCAATTTCTCTAGATTCTAGATAGATAAGTTACCGTAATCTTCTTGAGCATCCGTTGCTCGTTTGCAATCCGGATGACAAGAGGTAGCGAGGGCCATCTCCAATTACTACACACATATGAAATTTTCATACAACATCAGAATCCAATTCAAAGTGAAAGATACGGAAAGAAAGCAAAATCAAGCAGAAGAAGACATTCAGAAAACAAAATCAGAGTGAAAACACCGATAATGGAAAAAGACCTGACTTGCAAACATTTGACATCAACATTACCATTTTTAGTTGCAGAGAAAGATAAAGCTTTCGACTAAACCAAACTAACGTTGTCTTTAACAAAGAATAGCATCCAACCTATAGAAGGATTCAACATCATTCATCCAAGAAAAATCCAAAACCCTAAAACGTAACTCACTAATCGCACTGAGAAGGCCAAACCACGAGTAAAACACGTAAAGCTAAAATGAGAAACAAAATAAGAAAAACAGAGAGAAAGTTACCGGAAGAGAATCGGAGAGCGACAACAACGGCGGAATCGGAAACAATGGTGGTGACAGTCGCAATCTCCGTCGCCCGAAGAAAATCAGAGAAAGATCCCAAATGTCAAATGACTCGTGAAACCCCGTCAGTTTCAGATTATTATCGATACGATGTCGCGATGAGAGTTAAATTCTTCACTCCTTAAAAACGACACCGTTTGACTACCAACGCTATTATGTCCTCAACGACATCGTTGTTTAGGCAATTTAGAATTTACATTCTCTTTCTTGATCGATACCTCCAAACGCACCAATCCATTATTTTAAGTACTGTACCAAATATAAAATTGTATTGAGAACTAAACTCATGAGGATATGATCAAGAGCCAACATTTCCTAATAAAATTAGCTAGTAGATAATAGATTATATAAAACATTTCTACACACCTACGTACGGTTAAGCTGTGAGTTTCATTGCATGTTCAAACTAGTAACATTGCATGTTCAAAATATAGTAAAACCTCTGATATGTATCATATCTTTTAATTACGTTTAAGATTCCTTATAATGTATTATTTGATTAATAGTTTAAAGCACCTACGTTCGGTCAATATTTATTCCACAACAAATTTGATATCATCATTTGGTTGAGTTTTAAATTTGTTTTCTTTTTCTAAAGTTTCAAACTTAGGGATGGTTTGACTACAAAAACTTAAATATTTGCCATATTATGATGGCATCAAATGATGGTTCCATTATCATTATAAGGTATACAAAGGTTTTGAGAAGGATAGTATGTAGCACTTATCCATAATATTGACCACGCATGAGCCGGCAACATAAAGAACTAAGACGGATATTTAATTTAGGACTCAAGACAGCCAGACCCCAAGTCTGTATTGTTGTATCCGTCCCATATAGTTGTATGGGTTCATTGTATAAACAACATCTAATAGTAACTAGTTTATATACAAATGAAGCTAGAGTACACTAAGATCGTCTTATGGTGTTGATTTAACTGACGTGCTACAGACGATGTAGCTAAACAAACTGTGTTTTCAGATTAGTGCATGTTTTGAAAGACTTGAGATGAATGTCAGATGAATTTGTCACGTTATTAGAATTTTATTTTAGTTGAAAAAGTTATATATTTAAAGTAATAACAACAATGGATATGATTAAAAAAAAAAACAAAAAAAAGAAGCAACATTTCACGCTAGGTATCATATCTTTTATAAGTCCAAGATTCCTAATAATATAGATTTGATTAATAGTTTAAAGCAACTAAATCGCTTGGTCCTAATATTTGAATCCATTTGTCTGAGTTCCACACTTAGAGGTGGTTTGCCGACAGAACTTAAGAATTGCCTGAATACGATGGCTTTAAATAACTGCTTCCTATCATTAAAAGATTATACACCGGTTTTGAGAAGGATGGTACACTAGCAAGCACCAATCAAGTAGCACCTATCCATAAAGACTGGCATAGGTCGGGACTCGAGAGTTGTTAATATCCGAACAGATCTTATGGTTTTGATTTAGCTCACGTTTTACTACACGAGCTTAGGTATATATATCCTTTGGTAAAGGCATCTTCCACCGACGGGAATAGAGGCCTGCTTTTGAAATTGGACCTACAAACTGTAAATTTCTTTGTTTATGGTCATGCGTACTTGTGGATGAGACAAATGTAGCTTAAATTAGTGAAATTTGTTAATTGGCTTTACATGTAAAAATATCATGCATAAAACACTTGGCTAATTATATCAAATGCGTATGTATGGTTTACTATTAACTAGTTGAGAGCTGGACAAGCTTGGTTTTGGTGTTAGGTGGAGAGAAAGTTACGGGAAGGCCTGAGACGAAAGGGGATGGTGATTGGACAATATCGAGATTCAGACACAAGTCCTGTGCGTTTAAGTCTCGGTTTGAAGGGATAAGACCACCTGCGGTTCCGATCTTGGCTGGTATGATATAGTATTGGGCATATTAGAATGAACCGATGTCCTGCTATGTCCAGGATCACTTGGCTTGACACAGCATCGACCGCTGAACTTACCGTCAACGTCAAGACGACTAAGAGAACGGTGAGAATGATGAAAAATTAGGCTTCTTCATTTTGGTTAGAGTTTAAGAATTTGTTATGTGGTGTTGTGGATAGCATATTATATGTAAGTTTATGTAACAAAAATAATTGCTATAAATTGGGGAAAATTTTGTAACCAAACAAAATTTTGAAGTTTGTTCTCGTTATGTATGTCTCTGTCAATCATCAAGATGTACTATATTCCCTCTCTCTTTTTTTTTTCCTCGAAATCTTTTTGTAACCAACATTTTGTAATTTAGTGTGGATATTTATCCAAGAAAACAATTACTGTATTGAATATGAAAAATCATGGTAGAAAACAGTTCCCACAATATTACACGAAGTCATTAATTTAGGAGTAAGGTAATTAATTAAGGATGATATAAAGATTTGTTTTGGGCTAACCGATTTATGTAGGCTTAATTGTACGCACTTTTTAATTGGTTAGAATTTTTACATAGTTATATTGGCTCTATAGGTATCTCCCAAATATATAAATAAATATATACTTTACATAAAGATAGAGCGGGTTTTATGTAATTCATCATTTATAAACAAGCAAAAGATCCTTAACCAAAGCAACATACACATGATTATGCATGAGTGACTCATGACATATTGACATGACAGACTAATCATATCAGACAAGAAAAACAGACCGACCACAAGTTGTTGGTATTGTCACAACCATTATTCAATGGGCCATATATTTAGGCACGCACGTTTTTTGCTACAAGTTGTGAATTAGTAGTCAGGGAACATCCTCAGCTTAGTCTTCAAATCAGCTTTGGGAGTTGCTGCCTTCTGGAACTTAACTAGGAGAGCCTCATCGTTGGTCAATGATAAGCGTCGTGCACCAGAAAGATCGGTGAATATGCCAACGTTCATGCACGCAGCAGGCGAGATGATTGTACAATACACAATCTTGTAGGCACCTCCGTCGACTCGATGGATCTGGAAGCCACTTGGGTTTGATGAACCACCAGTGCTTATTATAAGACTCTTTTTGAATTCTTCAGAGTACACGACTCTCCACCCTTTGGATTCTTCAGGACACAAAAACCAGTTGGGAGCCTCAAACTCGATGTTGACATTATTCATTTCCTTGACAAACCATAACTCGGACTTAAACTTGATGGGTACGCCCAGGTCAAGCGGATTGTTTGACTGGAGGATGTCGAGAGGACAAATCTCTTCACTGTTCGAGAAAAGACCTCCTCCAATCCCGGGAGTCGCAGGTACGATGTGGTAGGTTAGACCAGGACGAAGTAGACGACCCGCAGAATCCTCGACATGGTTGTCAGGACGAGCTAAAGAGGGTACGGCCAAAGCGACCACGAGAAAGATGAGAGTGATGGATATGGTAGCCTTCATTTTCGTTTTTTCTTTTAGCCAATTGTATTTGTGGAGATTGTTACTTTGTTATGTGTTTGAGAAGATCACAAAGAGTCTCTTTATATAGAAGCATCGGCTGTTACGTACAATGTCCATGGTTTATAAATAATTTTCTTTTAATAACTTGCCACATGTCAAAATCTCAAATTATTACTTGTTAATGGCTAATTTTGAAAACCAAAGTTTATATAATAAGATATACAAGTCTCGGTTAAATTTGTTATATAATTATTGGTTTAGTAGTCATTATTGAGTTTGCTAGTTGTGACGTTGTTGAGCAAGTTGTGTCTAGCTTGTAATTTGGATAGTTAAATTGTATGGTTTTCATGCACGACGTTTAAGAGAAATGTAGATATTTTGCGCATCAATTCATTTCTTCGTTTATCTTTCAACGTCCAGTTTATAAGTGAAGTTGGTTGGAGAATTCAAGTTTGTCGTGGGCCGTGGATCCGTGGTGGGGAACTCATTCACATAGAGCATTAAATAGATCAAAGTATTTTGTTTTGTATTCTAAATGTGGTTTTAGTCGTGTGCTGATAGCAATATATTAAAATATCTATGTATATCGGATTCGGAATGGCCATACAATATTAATTTGTTGCATGCAGCATATGCATGAAGGAATTGCTAACTCTCACCGCATGGAAATAAGCAAGACATGCAATTATTGTTCAAAATTACAAGAAAGGAGAAGAAGAAGATTCATATAATTAAATCAAACTGCAGTTAGTGATCCTAGAAAATATGGGAAGCCAGCTGCAGTTTGATTTAATTATATGTCAAAGTCATTAAGTTTGCTGTTTATGATTTCCTCATTCTATATCATGTAAACATGGATAAAATTGTATGAACTTCAAAAAACAGAATCAAAGTTGGACTTGAGCTGACACGAGAAAAATTAGTATCATTACCATCATGATCATAAGAGTATTGATGAATCTATTACAAATCGATTGTAAATTACAATTTTGGTGAAGCTAAAACCAAACCAAGAGTTATTACATTATTATTTTCACAAGGAGTTATTACATACTGAAATAGATACGTAGATATTTTCAAAACTGTAACTTTTGATTCAAGTCATTGAACGTTTTAACGTTTAAATAGTGAATTTAGGTTTTCCTGAGGCCCTACGAATTATCTTCAGTTCGTTTCTAATTATCTCGCGTGTGACGTCTTTTCTTGCATGTGCTGCTGAAGTAAGACTTTCATAGTTTTGGATTCTATATATTACATATTTATGCCACTTTCGTTTTGGGTTATTATCTATCCCTTGGCTACCTGTAGTTTACAGAACGTTCCACTAGGTTCTCATTCTGTTTCTGTCCAATAAGCGTATTTACGAAATATTTAAGATGTGAAAATCTATATGATACAAGAGAAAATGACAGATCAAAAGCGAGGACAAAGATGCAACATAGCATTTCTTGCTTCAACTTAACCATTGCATCTGTCGGCAATGTCATAGATTGTGATCTGCTGCACTGTGTTTGTTTGTTGAATGATAGGTGGACGAGGCAACGGTAGAAATCGATTCAGGGCTCAATTCGAAACTGGGGATTTTGACACAAAGTTACAGGTTCTGATATTTTCTTTAGTTGAAATGAAGGAGTAACATTACCGGTTCATGTTTCTTCTTCTGCTTCCTCAGA